CAAACTGGCGATAGGCTTTATGTTATAACTTACACTAGATTTATTAGCAATTTGGTGCCAACTTTTGTTTTATTTTATTTTTATCATTCTTGTTAAAATTCATTGTTGTTCTTGGAACGTAGTTTTGGAGCTTGCTGCTGATACAAGTTGAGAATGTCTCCAGTGGGGAAAAACTTGATCAAAATGAATTATCAAATAAGCAGGCCAATATTTTTAACTTACATATTTGAGCTCACTGCAAGAGTCAAACCATTGACACAGGTCATGTAAGTGGTTAATTTTTTTATTTTTTTTATAGTGTGCTGAAGTTATCATCCGCACCAGTTAATAGTGTTCAAATGGTCATATAATTGGCATTAAATAAAGAGTTATTTACACTAACAGGGTTATTAAGAAAACTCATTTTGCTAGAAAAAATAAACATGTTGTGAATTATTACATTTAAGTTCCAAGTATACCATTGTTATATGAACTACATGTTTTTTTTTGTTCAAGTGAACTACGTGTTAGGTAGTGGTTTTATCTTTAAATATTATAAGAAGTTTCATGTTCAAATCTCCTCCTTCAATCAACAAATGTATACCCTTAGGTGACGTTTGGTGGCTCGGTTTGGAGTGGATTGGTCAAGAGTAATATAGGAATTACATATTTATCATAATTTAACCAATTGCTCTCTAATTTAAACACACCTTACTTTCTTATTAATTTGTATTGCACTTTAACTTACATATAGTGTATGTGACCCATAGTGTATGTGAACCTGCTGCGAAGCCAAAGAGAGAGAGAGGCCCTGCATTAAGGAAGATGGGGTTCTGAAACCCAAATTCTACACTAAAGACTTACATTTTCCTTCCACCAAGACAAGCAATCATATCAGCCTCTGGGTTTGCTTCTCTTCTGTCCACCACACACACTGACTGGACCTCAGCTTCAAGGTAGTATCATCTTAAACTTGCAAACTTGACTTGAATTGAAGTGCCTACAAATTTGTACACAATGCCCAAATTTGCAGTTTCTAGTTTCTACTGTAAAAGCCTATAGTTAATGCCATTCATCAAAAATGAAGAAAACAAAAAGATAATAAAAGTTAATCTCATTAATATATTAGAGCTTCACTCAAAGCTAGCTAAAGCTCTATATGGAAAAATTGATAAACAACAAACAATCCTTTTTATTTTTTTGTTGTCAATTTCAAATTATTGCTGAAACATCATGTAAGACATGGTTGACCTCACAATCACAATGCTGCACAAGCAGAGGAGACATTGGTTTGGAGGGCTTCCAAGAAAAATATCAAATCTTCTAGGACTTCAATTCAATTATACCACTGGAGTTGCACTTATTTTGGGCTTGAGTTGTTTCTGTTATTCTCTGCAAGCTTGTGACAACTTCTACAGGGATCCTATTTTAATTTCACTTGCTGGCAAAGATAACAGATATTGGGCTAGTAACAGAATGCTGATCAGAAACCCATTGCAAATATCCCTGAGCAAATGGTACACCATCCTTCCCAGCACTGTCTTGTGCGAAAAACTCCGCTTCGAATGTAATCTCCTGGTTAACCTCTGTGAATTTAAGCATCTGAGGGTTCACACTCATGCCCATGTTCTGTGGCACAAAAAGATCCAAGTTGTAAGTTGAATTAGCCGGGCCAACATTCTTGACAGTCCTTGTATAATACTGAGACCGAGAGTCTTCAGATGACCCTACTATAATAGAGAAGGAAGGATAGTTTAGCTGTGCTTCTGGTATGGCTTCTACTTGAGAGCAGTTCACTCTTTGTTGGGTGATGACCTGTATCTGTTCGTCTGTGTAATTCAAACCACACAAGTAAGGAATGTAATCCTCTGGTTTTGTGTCATAGATGAGCCCAGGGTCATTTGCTTTTGAAGGGTTAACATGGCCTGCACCAGTGGCAAAGATGTCTGCTGGCTTAAGTGTTTCGTCTACAATGGGCTTTCCTTCGAGGTTATGTACTTCAGCAGTCGTCATGATTGCAGACTTGATCGCAGCTGGTGACCAGTCTGGGTGGGAACTCTTGAGCAAGGCTGCAATGCCACTTAGGTGGGGGCAGGACATTGAGGTGCCTGAAACCATGTTAAATGTTGCCTTACCTTCTGTGCTGTTGTCCACCGAAACAGGCCATGCTGCTAGGATGCTAACACCAGGACCAATGATGTCAGGTTTCAAAATTCCTGTGCTTGCAATGCTTGGTCCTCTTGATGAAAAGGAAGTAATCTTGGGAGCAAGTCTGTCTCCAATGACAGTTCCTTTGAACAAGATTGTGGCTGCAGGATTTGAGGTGGAGTTCAGATAGGCTTTGATTTTAACACCTGCAACATAACCCACGTGTGTTGCGGGAAGTACATGAGGGTCAGCTAAGGTGCTATCACCATCAGTCTCTGCATTCACGAGAATCATGGCAGCTCCACCAGCTCTTTTCACTTCTGCCCCTTTGTCAATTCTTGCTACTCCTCCACCTCTCTCACACAACACTATTGCCCCTTCAACGTTTCCAAGTGATCCAGCATCACAGAATGCTGATGATTGTTTTCCATTTGCGCCTGCATAAACAAGAGGTAAAAATTTTGAACTAAAATCTTTTGGCTGGAATAATGATTCACCATCATATTCTGCTCCATTTCCAAGCAATGCTGTCGCTTTTATGCTTCTGTCAATGGTGCTTGCTCCAACTGTGAGAATCCAGGGTGCCTCATTTGCTAAAGAAGCATAGAAAGGACCCGAGTTTCCAGCTGAACAACTGACAAAAATTCCCTTTTGTATTGCTCCAAATGCACCAATTGCAATCCCATCAGCATAAAAAGGAACTGAGGCACCTCCGAGCGAGAGGGAGAGCACGTCCACACCATCTTCCACAGCAGTATCAAGAGCAGCTAAGATGTCACCTTCAGCACAACCCACCTCTGAACAGACCTTGTAAATTGCCAGGTGAGCATAAGGTGCCATGCCAGACGCTGTGCCGTTGGCCATTCCAAACACATTGGCACCTTTCACGAAATTTCCTGCAGCTGTGCTGGATGTGTGGGTGCCATGACCTTCATCGTCAACTGGAGGGCCTCCCGTAGTTTGCCCACCTTGGAAATTTCTTGCACCAATAAGCTTATTATTGCAAACTGTTCCATTGAAGTTGCACTTGCCTTTCCATTTAGCTGGAGGAGGGGCTACTCCTTCATCACTAAATGAAGGATGATCAGGTGATATCCCAGTATCCAGAACTCCAATGATCACACCTTCACCATAGTTTGATCCCTTCCAAACTCCCAATCCTTGGTGCAGCCCCAAGAAGTTAGGACTATGAGTAGTATGCAAAGGCAGAATTTGCTCTGGATGAGCCAACAAAAACCCTTCTTTCTTTTCCATTGCCTTTACTTCCTCTGGCGTCAATTTTGCTGCAAACCCAGTGGCCACATTGCGGTATGCGTGAACCATTCGTGGCTTCAACTGGTTTGAGCTTGCTATGGTTGTGGGCAAAAATGTGTGATACCAACTCTCTAAATCTTCATGAGATTTTGAGAAAAAGTATTTCTGGACTGGCTTCTTCACCCAAACAATATAAGTTTGCATGTTATTCTGCTCCTCATCTGTCTCAGCTAGCGGTTCCAGCACTGCCTCTTCATTAGCAACTGCCACTGATAAATACAACACAAAACTTAAGCCAAGAAGATATATTATCTGGAAAGCTAAAAACTTTTTGTTCTCCATCTTTTGATGAAGAAGAACCTCAAAGTGCAAGTGCCTTGTGTTAGTCTACCATTTGAGCTCCTATATATAGTGGACAGCAAGAGATGGAGGTGAAATGTGGGTTTTGAAGGAACATTCGCCGGCATTTCTTGTACCGATGATGGTGATTCAAGGTTGTGAAGGTATGCTTGTTGTGACTTGGTTGATTAAGGGGCTGCCAAATGAGGCTGAGCATAAGAGTCTAAACTGCGGCACATTTGGAATTAAAAAACAGGGCTTGGTAATGCTCGCTAATCTCTCTCAGTTATACCAAAGCGTCGATAGACCTTATGTCTGGATTTTGGAGGCTGTTCTGTTAGTCTGGTGCCAGCTAGTTTATTGTTCTTATCAATTAATTGAGACAAGAGTGGCTAAAATAACAATTGATGATTTTTATTCTTATTTGGCACTATATAATGTCAAACAAAATGGCTGGCATGGCCTAAATATGAAGACAATAGTTTAACATTTTCTTTTCCTTTAGGGGGATTTGAGAAGTGTGAGAGTCGGATAATTTCCACACATTGTTTTTAGGTGTAACTGTTTTACTGAAGTTAATAAGTCCACACATTGTTTTTTTTATTTTTTGGGGTACATAATTAACTTTAAAGTAAGGGAAGGGAATGCTTCATCATGACCAAGATCTAGAAATTATCTTAGGGCAACTGTTTTTTATCATTTTTATCTTAGGGCAATATAATAGCAGTTTACCTCACAGTTTTAAAATCCTTTTTTTTTGTTGTTGAATCTCTCAAATTATCGCAATTTTCAGTCAAGTTAAGTTGAATTTCTCAAATTATTGAGACTTTCTGTCAAATTGTCGCCCTTTCTTCATGCAAAGGTTAATTGCAATTTGCAACCTTGGATCTGTTCAGAGGGAATAAAAATCAACACGATGAGTCTCATGTCCTGCTAAATAAGTCATCCTTGAAATTTAAAGAGTTCACGCTAATAGTTGACAAAATAAACATCTCAAGTTTCACTCAAAACCTTTCTTCTAATTTCCATTGCTTCTCTCAAATTTTCACTGATACCGATTTTGTGTCAATATTTCCATGAAAATTGATTTTTAAAACCGGAGGTGATAAAAGGGATGATTTGAACTTATAGAGCCCTTAACAAAATTGCAGCTAGGGTAGACTCAGCTTTAACAAGGCTCTTAATCCCCTTTGACTTTATATATTCACAGGTAAATTATTATTACAATATATGAAAATACATTATTATTTGTAACTATATTAAGATTGAATGATTATTACCTACTTAGAGTCAAAGATCACAGATATGGGGCTAGTAACAATATGCTTATCAGAAACCCATCTCAAATACCCCTGACCAAATGCTACACCATCCTTGCCAGCACCATCTTCTGCAATAAACTCCACATGGTATGTAATCTCCTGGTTGACCTCTGTGAATGTAAGCACCTCAGGTTTCACACTCATGCCCATTTTATGTGGTACAAAAAGATCCAAGTTGTAAGTTGAACTAGCCGGGCCAATGTTCCTCACTGTCCTTGTATAATACTGAGACTCTGTCTCATTGGATCCTGTTGTAATAGAAAATGAAGGATAGTTTAGTTGTGCTTGTGGTATGACCCCAATTTGAGAGCAGTTCACTGTTTTTCGGGTGATGACCTGTATCTGTTTGTCTGTGTAATTCAAACCACACAAATAAGGAATGTAATCCTCTGGTTGTGTGTTGTAGATGAGCCCTGGGTTATTTGCTTTCGAAGGGCTAACATGGCCTGCACCGATTGCAAATACGTCTGCGCGATTACGCATTTGATCAACAATGGGCATGGTGACCAGTCAGGGTGTGACTCGTGTGAGCTCTTTAGCAAGCCTGCAATGCCACTTAAGTGAGGGCATGACATTGAGGTACCTGACATTATGTTAAATGTTGCATTAGATTGTGTCCAGTCCATGGCAAAAGGCCATGCAGCTAGGATGTCGACACCAGGTCCAATGATATCAGGTTTAAGAATTCCAGGGCTTGCAGTGTTTGGTCCTCTTGATGAAAATGTAGCAACCTTTGGAGCGAGTGGATCTGATGTGGAGCCATTGAACAAGATTGTGGCTGTAGGTGTAAGTTTAATATTCTGTCCGTGGTGCTTGCTCCAACAGTGAGAATCCATGGAGCTTCATTTGATAAAGTACCATGCTCAGGACCAGAATTTCCAGCTGAACAACTGACAAAAATTCCCTTTCACATTGCTCCAAATGTGCCAACTGCAATCACATCCTCATAGAAAGGAATCGAGGGCCAGCCAAGTGAGAGGAAGAGCACATCCACACCATCATGAATAGCAGCATCCATTGCAGCCAAAACGTCACCTTCAGCACAATCAAGGCCACAGACTCTGTAAATGGCCAAGTGAGCATAAGGCGCCATGCCAACAGCTGTGCCATTTGACACTCCAAACGCACTTACGCCTTCCACAAAATTTCCAGCAGCTGTGCTAGACGTGTGGGTGCCATGGCCAGCTTGGTCCAATGGAGCTCTCCCTGTTGCTTTCCCTTTGCTTGCACCTATGAAATCTTTGCCCCAATAAGTTTGTTATTGCACAATGTCTCATTGAAGTCACATTTGCCTTTCCATTTAGCCAGAGGAGGAGATACTCCTTCATCACTAAATGAAGGCTGATATGGTGCAACACCAGTATCCAAAACTCCAATGATCACACCTTCACCATGGTTTGTTTGTTCCCAAAGTCCCAACCCTTGGTGTCAACCCAAGTCAAGACTATGAGTTGTGAGCAAAGGCAGAATTCTCTCTGGATGAGCTGACACAAACCCTTCTTTCTTTCCCATTTCCTTCACTTCCTCTGGTGTAAGTTTTGCTGCAAACCCTATGGCCACGTTGTGGTATGTATGAACCATTCTCTGCGTCATCAGCTGGTTTGATTTTGCACTGGTTTCAGGCAAAAATGACTGATACCAACTCTCCAGATCTTCATGAGATTGTGCAAAAGAATTCTGGAAGACTGGCCTTTGAACCCAAACGATATATGTTTGCAGATTGTTTTGCTCCTCTTGTGCAACTGCGAGTGATAAATAAAACATGAAAGTTAAAAGAAGATATAGAACCTGCATTCACGCTACACCCTTTTTGTTCTTCATATTTAATTTGATAAAAAGAAGAACTTGGAAGCGCAAGCGGTTTGCACTAGTCTACAATTTTTCAAGCATGCATATATATGCTATGGGTTAATGACCTAAATGGTCCCCCAACTATCGCTCGATTATCATTTTGGTTCATCAACTAAAATTTTCAATTCAAACGTCCTTAAACTTCTGATATTGTACCAAAATCATCCTTCCATGATAGATTCCGTCACTTTCGATCATGCGATGGTCACGTGACTGAGTTTTGAAGAGTATATGCGACTTTTTGAGAAGCCCTATCGTTCAGAACCAAAATCCCTCCAAAATACGCCCACTTTTGGAGAAGCCCTCTCATTTCCCGCAAAAACCATCAAGTGAAAGGGATTCTAATGTGAGTTGCTGAATTGGTCGATGCTGTAGTAGTGTGCGAGTTGCTGAATTGGTGAAGTTAGTGTATAATTTCAGTGTTAGTTTTGGAGTTCAAATTTGGGAGTTTGGGTTAGGGTTTGATTTTGGGGATTTTGGAGATTTTGGGAAATTCACTAGTTGCTGATAATGGAGTACGAATTCCGTTCGGGTGGAAAGACTCCCAAATATGGTAAGGGCTTCTATAATGCATTTTATGTTGTTTTTGTTTGGAAATGGATGAGTTGTCCTTGTCTGGAACTGTGGTTTCTTTATAAATATTCCTTTTTCTGTGTTTGTGTTTGGCTTTTTGGTTGTTTCATGTTTAAAGTAAGGGTAAAGGAATCGTTTTCTTGTATGTGGATGTGGATTTGGCTTTTGCTACATTAACTGTAGAGTGTAAGCTTTATGTCTGTGGTCCCTTGGTTGTGGTTCATGTATGTTGAATATGGTGTTTTTTTTAAACCGCTGTGGTCCCTTGGTTGTCTGGTTCACACCCAACTCAGTAATTGTTGCCCTTGTTGTCGTTAGCATTAACAACAAAACTATGACTTTAGAATAACATATTGTTCTTTTAATTTTGCAGCTAACAATGGAATGTGCACTCTAGAATTACATCATGGGGGCTGGTTTGAAAATGGGGTTTATAAGAAGGGTAAAGTCTGTTATTTGGACAATATTATAGAGGATTTTCTGTCCTTGTTAGATTTACTGAAAATTGGGAGAGGTCTTGGGTAGGAGGTTGACATTTCTGAAGTTGAGCAATGTTTGGAAATTAGGTGTAAAAATCCTGAGGGTGGACTGGAGCTTGTTACATCGGATGCTACAGTGGTTGAAATGGTTGGTCACATACCATCCAATAAGGTTATTGTGTTATACTATAGTGAGATTGAAGACTATGAGTATGATGCAGATGCAAAGAATTGTGATGGGGATTTGACTCAGAATTACCAAGTGAACGAGGTGGATTATATTGAAGTTGAAGATGAGGAGACTTTTGAGAATGTTGGGACAAAAGTGGCAAATGAAGATGTTGTCAAAGAGGTACCAAATGAAGATGCAGGGGCAAAATTACCAAATGAAGATATAGGGGCACATTTCACCATTGATAATGAAGGGGCAGAATTGCCAAATGAAGATATAGGGGCACAAGTGACAATTGATAATGAAGGGGCAAAATTGCCAAATGAAGATGAAGATGAAGATACATATTCATAAATTAAAGACAGTGATTATGAGTTCAGTGAAAGTGAGGCAGAGGATAGGCCAACTATTGGAGAGAATGTAGCATATGAGAGGACTAGTCATGGTGCTCCAGGAGAGGTGTCATCAGATGGTGCTGACACGTCAGAATTTGATAGTGGAAGTGAGACTGATTCTGAGGGTAATGGTAGAAAAAAGATAAAACTGCCAAAGTTTAAGTAGTATAGAAGAGATGTGGATTTGAAAAATCCTGAATTTAGATTGGGAATGAAGTTTGCAAACAAAAAACTTCTGATAGAGGCTATCAAGGAGCTTGCAATTATAGAGGGTAGGGAAGTGAAATTGAAAAAAAACGACAACAGACGAGTTCAGGCTAAATGTGTGAAAGGGTGTTCTTTCCAGGTATATGGATCAAAGATTAATAGAGAGGAAGGGACATTTGCTATAAAAACTTTGAGCCTAGAACATCAGTGTGGAAGAGTGGACAAGCTTAGGCATACTACATCAAAATGGCTTTGTGACAGATATGCAAACAAGCTGAGGCGCAACTCAGACTTTGATCTGAAATCATTTCACCAAACTTCAAGTTTATAGGGCAAAGAGGCTAGCCAGAGATTTAAATGAAGGTACTTTCAAAGAACAATATGCTAGATTGTGGGATTATGCAGAAGAATTGAAAACTGCAAATAAGGGTAGTACAATGAAGATTAAAACTCATATTGTGAAGGGTGAGACAGTGTTTCAAAGGATATATGTGTGCTTGGCTGCCTGTAAGAAGGGATTTTTAGAAGGTTGCAGACCTGTTATTGGTGTTGATGGCTGCCATTTGAAAGGGTCTTATCCTGGATAGATCTTGACGGCTATTGGGGTGGATGGGAACAATGGTTATTTCCCAGTAGCTTATGCAGTGGTTGATATTGAGAGTAAAGACTCTTGGATTTGGTTTTTCAATCTTCTTATTGAAGATTTAGGGATTACAAATGGACAAGCTTAGGTAGTGATTAGTGACAAACAAAAGGGACTTCTACCTGCTATTGAGAGAGTACTTCCAACTGCAGAGCACAGGATGTGTGTGAGACACCTGTACAGTAACTTTAGGGCATCACATATTGATTTTGCTCTGAAACATATATTATGGGCTGCAGCAAGAGCTACAACTGTGCCTTGGTGAGAGGCAGAAATGGAGAAGATGAAAAATGAGGATGAGGAAGCATGAAAGTGGTTGAAGAAGTGACTTGCAAAAAATTGGAGCAGATCTCACTTCGGATCACATTTTAAATGTGATCTTTTGTTGAATAATCTATGTGAAAGTTTCAATGCAGCCATACTAGATGCAAGGTATAAGACAATTTTGAGTTGCTTGAAGAGGATAAGAGTGTATGTGATGCTTAGGATGGCTAGTAGGAGGTCTGCATGTCAAAATTGGAGATACTCTGTTAGGCCTAGGATCTTCAAGATAATTGAGAAGAACAAGCTAGGTTCATCACAATGCATTCCTAGATTGGTTGGTGAGAAATTGTATCAAGTGAGCCACATTTATGGTGGAGAATTTGTTATAGACCTTAGAGCAAAGACATGCTCTTGTAGGAGTTGGAATTTATGCGGAATACTATGTCCCTCTGCAATCTCAGCAATATTTCAAAGATGTGAAAACCCAATTGTTTATGTGGATGATTGTTATAAGCTAGAGACTTATATGAAGGCTTATGAATCAGTGATTCACCTAATCCCTTCAATGGACCAATGGAGTAAATGTGGCCCTCCTCCAATTAAACCTCCACTTTATAAGCAACAACCGGGTAGGCCTAAAAGAGTTAGGACGAAGGAGCCTTGTGAGGTTGAAATACCAGCCCCCATCCCACCAAACCCTATGCCTCCAAATTATATTGCCCCACCAACCAAGCTTAGAAGGGTTTTCATTGAAATAAGATGTCGTGGATGCGGTCAAAAAGGCCATAATAGAGCAATATGTGACAGACAAAACAATGAAACCCAACAGGTATGACTGTTAGACACCTTGTTTAGTTCTATGTTATGGTGTACTCACATTCATAATTTTGTTATACATTTGCAGGTTCGTGCATCTTCAACCCAAATGGAGCAAGGTTCTTCTTCTAACACAGTAAGAGGGAGAGGCATAAGCAGAGGGAAGGCATAAGTAGAGGAAGAGGAAATGTTGCTCAAGCTACTGCTGACCCTAATTCTCTACAAAGTATAAGCTTTGGTTGTTCTTGTGGTTTTAAATTGCAAAAGTCATTAGGAAGCTGAATCATTTTTTTTTTTTTGGTAAGAGGTAATAGAGAAGGAGGTAAAGGCATAAGTAGAGGAAGAGGCAATGTTGCTCAAGCCCCTGTTTACCCAAATTCACAAGAAAGTGTAAGCTTTATTTTCTCATTTTTTTCAATTTTTTATTGCTTATGTCATTGGAAAACAATAAAGATCAGTAACTTTTCCAGGTGACAAGAGGTAATGGACAAGGAGTCTTACCATCTTCACATATTGGCTTAGGAAGAGGTTTACCATCTTCAAAGCTAAGTGCAATTAGAGGAAGAGGCTTGGGAAGAGGCATAAGTGGAGGAAGAGACTTAGGAAGAGGCTTACCATCTTCACGATCAACTGTAGGTTTTTGTCATTTGGTTCATTTCTTACTCATTTCACTAATTGCCAATTTTTCAACTATTATACACCTGACATTACTGCATTGTTTAGGTGGCAAGAGGAAGGGGACAAGGAGGACCAGTTTTGGACAACATTTTCCATGATAATAACATGGCCTCAATATAGGGGAAATTATTGCTAAGGTTGTCCTATTTTGTGTATTTTGGGATATGTAATTTTCTGGCCAGAGGGATTTTGTGACAAAAGGACTGATTCTGACTTTTGACTGTGTAATTGGTTTTGAGTTTGAAGGGCTAAAACTTTGTAATTGTTTGGCTATTTTAGGTTAGGTACTTTTTTGGGCAGGAGGATTTTGTGTAGTTTGTGTAATTGGTTTTGAGCTAGAACAGCTCAAACTATGTAATTGATTGTCTGTTTTGGCTTATGTACTTTGCTAGGCAGGGGCATTTGTAATTGGAATTCTGTAATTGGTCTAACTGGTCTTCAGTTTCATGGGCTCAAACCCTGTAATTGGAATTTGAATGTTTATATGGATGTTCATTTTGTAAATTGCATGTGTAGTCAACAATGGAATGGCTTTTACTTTGTTGTACTCAATGGAATGGCATCTCCCAGATATTCAAATAACCTCAATTCAAGAACATTTCAGAACACTAATGCACATTCAAGGGACACTAATGCACATTTCAAAACATTAATGCACATTTCAGAACCATTACATTCAAAAGGAACAAACCCCATAACAATTACAACTTCCCACTCATCAGAAATGTTATAAACAAACCCGAAGACAAAATCAAGGAAACCCACATTATCAATTGTCTTTGCCCATGACCCCATTCCAAAACCTTTTTTTCCTGAACCATTTCTTTCAATTTCTGTTGCAATTCTTTCTTTTCTGCTTCCACAGCTCTCAATTTTTCTTCCTTTGCTCTACTTTCCTCCTCCATTGCTCTAAGTCTTCTAAGCAAACCAGGGACCATTTGTTTTCCTCTTGGAAAAGTTTCATTATCCACACACTCGAAATAATGCATACCTCTTTTGATATTCTGGCAAATCAAATCTTACCCAATTTCAGACCTCATCAACCAATTACAAATGGAAAAGAACAACTTTTGCAACCCAAATAATAACTTACCCAATTTTTATCACAAGCATCGAACCTTTTTCCTGGGTTCAAATCTGTCCACGAAGTCCGACGAATTATCTTCGTCCCACAGGCGCAGTACCGATGAATTATCTTCGTCCCACAGGCGCAGTACCAACTCATCCCACTTGATGTCGTTGAAATCTCCGACATTGCAAACCTAGGGTTCTAATTTGGGGGTTTTGGTAGAGCTTCTAACATAAATGGGAGGGAATGCGATACTACAGTGGCCAAGTTGTTTTAGAAGAGGATACTCACCTAAAAATACGGTTTTGTCCCTCGATTTAACGGAATAATACACTGACTTTGACGGAAGGACGATTTTGGTACAATATAAAAAGTTTAAGGACGTTTGAATTGAAAATTTTAGTTGATGGACCAAAATGATAATCGAGCGATAGTTGGGGGACCATTTAGGTCATTAACCCTATATGCTATAGTAGATGAGGTTAAACAATATTATTGTTAGTTAAGTCAGGGAACATTGGCCGGCATTTCTTGTAATTTGGAAAGCTTATTTGCAAATATGAGTTTTGTTAAGTCAGGGAACATTGGCCGACATTTATATATATACAGGACCTGGCAATGCTTGTCAAGCTATAACAAAGTGGCGATGGATCTTATGTCATATTACATATTTATTTTATTTGGATTTAACTTGGAGGTGAGTGTGTTGCCAACTGGTTTAGATATAATTCTTGTTAAAGCCTGAATGATTTTCAATTAAGTAATGTCACAGATTTAACACGAGCATTAGTTCAAAATTAATACAGTAGCAAGGATCTTAATAGCAATGAATTTACTATTATTCATTCTAATTAAATCACACATTATTTTTTTTTTATCATTGGAGGAGGAGGGCTGAATTTGAAATTGGACATCTTTCAACATTCTGTATATACATTATTTTACTTAAGTCGGAGTTGTAAGTTTACCTAGACTCAATGACCACAGCTATTGGTGTAGTAACTATATATAAGATTGAATGAGTATTACCTACTTAGAGTCAAAGATCACACCTATTGGGCTAGTAACATTATGCTTATCAGAAACCCATCTCAAATATCCCTGACCAAAGGCTACACCATCCTTCCCAGCACCATCTTCTGCTATAAACTCAACATGGAACGTAATCTTCTGGTTCACCTCTGTGAATGTAAGCACCCCAGGATTCACACTCATGCCCATTTTATGTGGTACAAGAAGATCCAAATTGTAAGTTGAACTAACCGGGCCAACATTCCTCACGGTCCTTGTATAACACTGAGACTAAGACTCATTGGACCCTATCTTAATAGAAAATGAAGGATAATTGAGCTGTGCTTCTGGTATGACCCCGACTTGAGAGCAGTTCACTTTTTGTTGGGTGATGATCTGTATCTCTTTTTCTGTGTAATTCAAACCACACAAGTAAGGAATGTAATCCATAGGTTGTGTGTCGTAGATGAGCCCCGGGTCATTTGCTTTTGTAGGGTTAACATGGCCTGCACCAATTGCAAATACGTCTGCCTGATTAAGTCTTTGATCAACAATGGGCAACCCTGCAAGGTTCAGTACATTGGCGCTTGTCATGATGGCAGATTTGATTGCAGCTGGTGACCAGTCAGGGTGAGAGCTCTTGAGCAAGGCTGCAATGCCACTTAAGTGAGGAGTTGACATTGAAGTACCCGAAATTATGTTGAATGTTGCATTAGACTTTGTGGCATTGTCCACAGAAACAGGCCATGCAGCTAGGATGTCAACACCGGGTCCAATGATATCAGGTTTCAGAATTCCAGGGCTTGCTGTATTTGGTCCTCTTGATGAAAAGGTAGCGACCTTTGGAGCGAGTGGATCTGATGTGGCGCCATTGAACAAGATTGTGGATGTAGGTGTTGAGGTTAAGTTTAATATTCTGTCTGTGGTGCTTGCTCCAACAGTGAGAATCCATGGGGCCTCATTTGATAAAGAACCATGGTAAGGACCAGAGTTTCCAGCTGCTTAGCTGACAAAAATTCCCTTCTGAGTTGCTCCAAATGCACCAACTACAATCACATCCCCATAGAAAGGAATCGAGGGACCGCCAAGTGAGAGGGAGAGCACGTCCACGCCATCTTCAACAGCAGCATCCATTGCCGCCAAAATGTCACCTTCAGCACAATCAAAGTCGCAGACTCTGCAAATGGCCAAGTGAGCATAAGGCGCCATGCCAAGAGCTGTGCCATTCGCCACTCCAAATGCGTTTGCGCCTTCCACAAAATTTCCAGCGGCTAGAAGTGTGGGTGCCATGGCCATCTTGGTCAAATGGAGCGCTCCCTGTAGGTTTCCCTTTGCTTGAGCCTATGAAATCTTTCGCACCGATAATTTTTTTATTGCACAATGTCGCATTGAAGTCACATTTTCCTTTCCATTTAGCCGGAGGAGGGGATACTCCTTCATCACTAAATGAAGGATGATATGGTGCAACACCAGTATCCAAAACTCCAATGATCACACCTTCACCATAGTTTGTTTGTTCCCATAGTCCCGACCCTTGGTGTAAACCCAAGAAGTCAGGACTATGAGTAGTCTGCAAAGGCAGAATTCTCTCGGGATGAGCTGACACAAACCCTTCTTTCTTTTCCATTGCCTTTACTTCCTCTGGCATCAGTTTTGCTGCAAACCCTATGGCCACATTACGGTATGTATGAACCATTCTTTGCTTCATCAGCTGATTTGAGTTTTCACTGGTTTCAGGCAAAAATGACTGATACCAACTCTCCAGTTCTTCATGAGATTGTGCAAAAGAATTCTGGGACACCGGCTTTTCAACCCAAACGATATATGTTTGCAGGTTGTTTTGCTCCTCTTGTGCAACAGCAAGTGATAAATAAAACATGAAAGTTAAACCAACAAGATATATAACCTGCAATGACATACCCTTTTCTGTCTCCATCTTTAATTTGGTTAAAAGGACTTGTAAGTGCTAGTGGTTTGTGTGAGTCTACCATTCCAAGCACCTACATATAGTGGACAGCAAGAGAGGTTGAACAATATTATTGTTGGGTTAAGTCAAGAAACATTGGCCTGCATTTCTTTTAATTTTGAATGCTTACTTGTTGCTAGTATGAGTTTTGTAATATTTATATATACAGGACCTGGTAATCCTCGTCAAGCTATAACAAAGAGGTGAGTTGGTACCAACTGGTTTATATCATTCTTTTTAAGACCTGAATGATATCAATTCAGTAATGTCACAGATTAAACATGAGCAATAGAAAATAGTTCAAAATTAATTCTTGACAAAATGAATTTTCAAGCTCGCCTTGCACTACTGTACTTGGGTCAGAAGAAAAACAAATGAATCATTTGTTTGAAAAATTTGTATGTGCTGCGATTGCTTGAAGCTCTTAAATTTGTATACAATGCCTAAAATAAAACTATAGTTTATGCCATTATTATGGTAGTGCTTCACACGAAGCTAGTTAGCTTCTGGAAAGATAACACAGAGAAGAAACTGATAAAACCACAAACAATCTTCTTTTCTTTGTGAATTTCACTTATTGCTGAATTTGAAACATCATGTAAGACATGGTTGACCAGAAATGCTACATGTTTACACCATAATCAACCGAGCATATTCAGTCTCAAAACAACTAGCACCAAGGCAGACACGCCTTCTTTCCTGCCGAAGGAAGACACTCTTCCGAGGTGCCAAGCACCTGCCGAAACTCCCGACTGCCAAAGCTCACAAACTGTTAAACCTAATTCTCATAACACGTGTCACCACCGCGGCGACTTGCACAGAGTCCCACATCGGAAATCTACACCAACCTCCCACTTTCACTTCCCTATAAAAAGGGAACAGTACCCTAGTAAGAGGGGTAACTACTTTTCTGCCTTTTACTATTACTCTGCAAAAGTTACCCTTCTTAGCTGACTTAAGCATCGGAGAGCCTTCGGCCGGCACCACACCGGTGCCCGGAGCTTGACGACTGCTTCCCCTATTTTTGTCTTCTGCAGGCTAGCCTTTATTGAAGGCCCAGACCCTTTCCCTGCTGAAGGCAAATCCCTTTTTCTCTAAGTTGACCCTCTCCGAAAAAGAGCATCAACAGTTTGGCGCCGTCTGTGGGAAGAGATACTTGAATCCCATTTTTCTCTACCAGCCCAGCTGGCTCCTTCTCCTATCCGGCCCCGTCGCCTCTTCTTCACTCCACACTCAGCTATGCCTACTGAGGATAGCCAGGGGACTCAGCACCATATCCCCCATGGGGGTACCTCCCAGAGGAGACCTTCAGCAGATGCCAATCTCCCGGCAGAACTGGAGAGCCTCCGCGCCAGTGTCACTAGGATGTCTGAGAAATATGACCATCTTCATGCTAAGAACGTCGAGCTCGAGCATGACTACCGCACATTGAAGCGTAACTGGGAGATGAATCAAACCCAAGGCTCCCAACGCAGCCCTACCCAGGTACCTGAGCGTACACAGCCAAACCAGCCGGAGCACCCTTTCACCTTCCCTTCTCCTTGGAACTCAACCTGTTACCCAAGAACCCAGCTCCTCGCAAGGAACCTTCAAAGTCTGAACCCGTGGAACGGTGGGAGCTGATCAAGGACAGATTTGAGAGCCTCCTCAAGGTTCTTGCTGAACCCGACGTCGGCCCGAGCAAGTCTTACCAAAGCCAAGCTCCCCCGCAAGAACCTAGCTCCCTTGCCGAATGGCAAGGGCTAGGCTTCCTGAAATAAAGAGTCCAAGACTGATCCTCACGGTTCTCACACAAGGACTCAGCCCCAATGGCCTAGCTTTGTGACTCAGCCACTTACGCAGCTTCCTAGCCAAACCTCAGGCCCAGCTATGGCTCAACTAAACCCTGCCGAAGACCCAGCTCATGCCAAGTACCTGGCCCCCCTTTTGATTTCACCTTGCCGAACGGCAAGCATTGTGGGATTGTTTTTATACTCCCCTCAATACCCTAGCAACTACCTGAGTCTTACCTAGGCTAAAATTGACAGCCCAGCCCCAACAATTAGCTAGGTCAATGACAAAGAGACCCCAGGCCATATTTTCCCTTTTTTCTTCCTTTAAACAACCTTCCCAAAACTTATCAATCCCAGCTCCACCATTCAATTTCGCCAGGCCCTTTGCCTAGGCCAAACCAAAGGCCTTTCTCTTAGGCTCTTGTTCTTTAAAAGCCCATACCACAGGGCCATTCAAAACAAAAAAAAAAAAAAAAAAAAGAAAGGAATGGGCAAGGGGGGCTAGGAAAATGGGAAAAATGGAAGCCCATATTCTTTTCTCCTTCAAGCTTCAGCCCAATCTTTTGGGACCCAGGCCTTTGCTACTCAAAACCATCACTTGGTTATCAAACGGCAAGACCTGAGTTAACAATCACTGCAGCTTCGAAAACCCAGGTCTACTTTTCTTTTAAAGGTACCCAGCTACCAACAAACACTGAGGCTAACACAGCTTTTATTATACCTTCAAAGTGTTAACGCAACTTCTAGCTTGACAACTTGGGGGACTAGGGACTGCCCTACGGCTCCCACTGAACCTGGAATGCTCGGTCATGATCACGCAAAAGCTTACAAGTTCCCAACCCAGAAGTCACTTCTTGACCGCGAACTTGGGGGACTACTGTTTACACCATAATCAACCGAGCATATCCAGTCTCAAAACAACTAGCACCAAGGCAGACACGCCTTCTTTCCTGCCGAAGGAAGACACTCTTCCGAGGTGCCAAGCACCTGCCGAAACTCCCGACTGCCAAAGCTCACAAACTGTTAAACCTAATTCTCATAACACGTGTCACCACCGCGGCGACTTGCACAGAGTCCCACATCGGAAATCTACACCAACCTCCCACTTTCACTTCCCTATAAAAAGGGAACAGTACCCTAGTAAGAGGGGTAACTACTTTTCTGCCTTTTACTATTACTCTGCAAAGGTTACCCTTCTTAGCTGACTTAAGCATCGGAGAGCCTTCGGCCTGCACCACACCGGTGCCCGGAGCTTGACGACTGCTTCCCCTATTTTTGTCTTATGCAGGCTAGCCTTTATTGAAGGCCCAGACCCTTTCCCTGCTGAAGGCAAATCCCTTTTTCTCTAAGTTGACCCTCTCCGAAAAAGAGCATCAACACTACACAATCTTCTTATTAGAACCTGAATGATCCATTGAATAATGAAAGAACACACAAGCAGTCGATTTCATTATTAATCCTTCATCGGGATTCTTATTTCTCACTATTTATCCTACCAATTTGTCTATCTCCTGCATCAGAAGAGGACATTTACTGCCCAACCAGCGCAATATTGAGATGGGATATTGTGGGAACCGAATTAAATCAGACCCTAGGTCAAATGATTCCTTCCATTTGGGGATTATTTGACCTAATTGGGAATTAATCAACCTAATTGGGAGTTACTCAATTTAATTGGGGATTACCCAATTAAATTGAAGATTACCTAATTAGGTTGAGAATTGATTTGATTCCTACTCCGATTCCCAATTAAATGAGGAGTTACCTAATTAAAATGGGATTTGATTTGATACCTACCACAATTAGGGATTTGATTTACCCTAATAAATCAAATCCCTAATTAATCAAATCAATTCCAAAACTATCTACGGAATTATTCCTATGAAACCCTAGCCTCCAAGACAACTATAAAAGGATGGCCACACACAAGGGTTGAGGTACGTCTGAAATCCCTACTGAAACTCCGCAGAAAATTCCTCTCAAACCCTAGCCACCTCCTTTCTCTCTCTCTTTTACATAAGGCTACGGCCGCCTGGTTTATACCATAAACACATCTCCGTACCCTATTAGCTATTGTTTTCTATATGATTTAATTGAACTAATTTAGGCATCGGAGGGCCTTTGGTCAACACCCCCCGGGTGTGGTCCTCTTATTGGTTCTATTTTGCAGGGAGAAGGAGGCGGCGAAGAAGAAAGGGGAATCTTTCCAATCGAATATTCTCGTGGGGAAATTTGTACAAACAAACTGGTGCTTTCATTGAGAGCACGAGTTATATTCAACGCGTGCTCAAGGAATCCGTTCCTCCTATTTTCCAATCCACCGAAGCCTTCCAAACAACCATGGTTGGAAGCATGAAGACGAGAGGCAAAACCGCCGCGATGGCTAAATCCGCGACGGCCCAAAGCCACTCCACCTACGGGCCCGCAATCGACATGGTGGCACCACCACCTCTCACCACCGCACCGGCCACCGCCGCCGAACATGGTGGAACCTCTCATCAAGGTTGACTTAGGCCCGGTCTTGGAGCAACTTCAAGCGATCCCTTCATTGCCTCCACGCTCGACACACGCTCCCACGCACACCTCCAATAAAACCCTAGCCAGTGTACAATTGGGCTCCACACACTTCTCTCCTCCTGATCCACGAAGTCAAGCAGACCTTAGTCTGAGAGTTGACCAGCTAGCTCAGAGAATGGACGACCAAAGCAATCTGATGAGGCAACTCCTCCACCAAATCAGCTTGGCTCAAAACCTTGGCCTTGGACAACTAGGCGAAGAGAGAAGGATGAACAAACGCACCGGCAGGCAGCTCAACGAGTACCCAGCAGGTCAAGCAGGAGTAGGCAGACAAGACGAGGGACAACAACTTGATCGGCCTACCGACATGTCACAAGCATCCGCGAGCCCCACTCGGAGCAGATTAAGTTCGAGGAACAACATGCGCGAGAGGCTAGGCCCACGACTTGACATCCACGCCCGCTTGGGACTGCAGGGAAATGTACTTCAAAGGCTAGGCCCCCAGGGAGGACAATCAGACAACCATCGCAACGAGGATCGTGAAGAAAGACGCTCAGTTGTCCACTCGCAGACGAACATGACAGGCTACGTCCCTAGGGTGGTCAACCGGATAATCCTCACAATGAGGACCACGAGGAAGGACGCTCTGCTGCTCACTCACGAAGAGACGGCTCTCGTCAATAAGCTACGGAGAATCTCTCGCAAGCGCAGTCCACCAACACGCCGCCTAGGCAGCGCAGACGAGAAGGTCGACCCTCGCAGACCCATGAGGAGGTCAGTCAACGTCGCCCGAATCGCGAAGGTCGCCAACGTGATCGACCAGCAATGTGCATAGAGGACGTTGAGAAGCTTATGAATGACCGACTTCGAGATCTGAAGACTGGTGGGAACCTCGATGATGCACTACGCAAGGAGATGGACCAGGCAAACTCCACACCTTTCACTGCCGAAATCGAGCAGGCTGCTCCCCCGAAGCGATTCTCCACGCCTTCGTTTACACACTTCAAAGGGGACTTCGATCCCGAGAGCCACCTAAAACACTTCAAAAGTGTCATGATCCTCCACAAGGCCGACAACGCATTGATGTGCAAGGTATTCGTAGTGACCTTGCGAGGAGCAGCCCAAGATTGGTTCCACACCCTGCCATCTTGGTCGATCAACAGCTTCAAGGAGTTGGCTTACGTCTTCACCAAAGAGTACACCTCTTATCGGACGATCAAGAAGAACCCTGACCACCTGTACAACCTGCGCAAGAAGTCCGACGAATCCCTTCGAGATTACATCAAGAGATTCAAAACAGAAAAGGCCAACATTGTAGGATGTGACGACCGGATCGCGACATCTGCTTTCAGGAAAGGCCTCCCAACTGAACACGACTTGTACCGCGAGCTGACTATCACTCCCAGCCAGACTCTGGCAGAGGTCTACGCCACCGCGGAACGCTACGCGCTCTGGGATGACGATCGAATCGCCGCAAAAAAGTCTACTAAGCAAGAAGATCAATCGACTAAGCGGGCAGGTCAAAGAAGCGATGGATTTAGCAACAAGAACAAGGATAAGCGCAGGTCACACCCACAAGGAGATGCTGCAGCAGGAGAGAACTACACCAAGTTCACCATCCCCATACATCAAATCTTAGCCCAAGTGAAAAACAAACCTTGGGTAAGAAGATCGCCACCCTTGAAAGGAGATCCAGACAAGAGGGATACAAGCAAATACTGTGCCTTCCATGGGACACACGGCACACTACCAATAACTGCCTCGCTTGGAAAGCACACTTTGAAGAACTCGTGAAAGAGGGTCACTGCACGGAGTTCATCGCGAAGCAGGCCATCCAGCGGATTGGAGATCGAGACACCGCCAAGGAACCACCCCAGAAGGTCATAAGGATTAACACAATCCTAGCCGACGCCAAGGAGTCAGGACTGACCAGCAAGGAAAAGAAGAGGAAGATCAAACAGGCCACTATGATCTCTCAAGTCTCGACTGACCTTCCACCAGCAGAAGACGATCTTATAATTGGCTTCCAAAAGAAAGATCTGATCTGCCTCGACATGCCACATAACGATGCCCTTGTCATCAGCGTACAAATCGCTCAGGCCATGGTCGACCGAATCCATGCAGACGAGGGCAGCGCAGCCAATATCCTGCAGCTGGCTATCATCCAGCAGATGAGCTTGGAGGCAAAGATCAACAAATCAGCCAGATTGCTGACCGACTTCAATGGCGCAACAATGGTTACCGTGGGCACGATATACCTCGACGTCGACTCCCCACCTGTAGTCTACTTGCAAACGTTCATGGTCATTAATGAGGTCTCATCCTACAACGGCATTCTGGGCAGGCCATGGATAGGCATGATCAACGCCATCACCTCTGCCACACATTAGAAAATTCAATACCCAATCCCTGGGGGCGGTGTTGGACAAATCAACAGCGATCAGGCAATGGCGCGGAAATGCTCCGCCCAAGGGCTGAAGAAAAGCAAGCAAGCGCAGTTCCTCCCAGTAAGCCAGGCAGATCTAAAGGAGGTGGAACAACCGAACCTTACTCTCTTATAGCAATCAAAGCATCAAGACCAAGCCGAAGAAGTCTATCCAGAGGTCTCTCCTGAAGAAGGGTGGAAGCCCGAGGAGGACGTCGAGTTAATACCCTTGGATCCTGACCAGCCAGACAAAAAAGCGCGGATCGGCTTGCCGTCTAAGCCCAGACGAGAAGGTGGAACTTACCACCTTCCTCAAGAATAACAAAGATATGTTCGCATGGTCGCTGTCAGACATGCCTGGTATCGACCCGAACATCATATGTCACCGACTCCACGTTAACCATGCCTGCAAACCAGTGGCGCAGAAGAGACGCAACTTTGCACCCGAGCGGGTCGCCATCATCGAAGCCGAGATTGATAAACTCCTAGCCGCCAGCTACATTGAAGAGGTCTCCTACTCGGAGTGGCTCGCTAATGTTGTTCTAGTGGCAAAACAAGAGAAGGGAAAGTGGAGAGTCTGCGTCGATTACACCGACCTCAACAAAGCATGCCCAAAAGACAACTTTCCATTGCCCAGAATCGACCAACTAGTGGATTCCACTTCTGGCAATCAGCTACTCAACGTCATGGAAGCCTACTCCGGCTACAACCAAATCTTGATGCACGAGGATGATAAGGTGAAAATTTCTTTCATCATCGAGAGAGGGACCTACTGCTACAAGGTCATGCCTTTTGGGCTAAAGAACGCCGGAGCAACCTACCAAAGACTGGTGAACAAAATCTTCAAGGAGCAGATCGGCAAAACTACGGAGGTGTACGTGGACGAGATGTTGGTCAAGGCCCCAAAACATGCAGATCACCTCAAAAACCTCGTTGAGGCATTCAGCCTGCTCCGCCAGTATCGCATGAAGTTGAACCCAAGTAAATGCACATTTGGTGTATCCTCCGGCCGATTCTTGGGATACTTAGTCACACAACGAGGTATCGAGGCACACCCACGTCAGATCAAAGCTATTCTCGAGATGAAGTCGCCTTCCACAACGAAGGAAATACAAAGTCTGACGGGCAGAGCAGCGACCCTCAAACCGGTTCCTCTCAAGATCAACCGACAAGTGCAAATCATTCTTCAAAGTTTTGAAGAAAGGACAAAGAGACAAATGGGATGAGGAGTGCGAAGTAGCTTTCCAGAGTCTGAAGGCTTATCTCAGCTGTCAGCTCAGCTCTCATCAGAGAAGAGCTGGGGGCTCAACATCCGGTATTCTACACGTCAAAAGCTCTCCTCGATCCAGAGACTCGTTACCCAAAATTGGAGAAACTCATTTTGGCTCTTGTAGTTTCCGCGAGAAAGCTACGACCCTACTACCAAGCTCATCGAGTTATCGTCATGACCGACTTTCCTTTGAGATCAATCCTTCATAGCCCTGATGCTTCTCAGCGACTCATGAAGTGGGCTATAGAGCTAAGCCAATATGACCTCCTCTACCGGCCAAAAGCTGCAATAAAAGCCCAGGCTTTAGCTGACTTTGTAGCGGAGTTCACCCCATCGGCCGAAGAAGAGAAAATGGTCAACGAAAAGAAGGAAAGTTCAAAAGCAGACGGGACCTCCACTGAACCTAGCCAACCTAGAGACACGTGGCAGTTGCGAGTAGACGGAGCGTCAAACCAAAAAGGAGCTGGAGCGGGTGTCGTCATCATCACCCCGGATGGAACCTTGTTGGAGCAAGCTATCACGCTTGGCTTCCCGGCCTCGAACAACGAGGCAGAATATGAGGCACTGCTCGTCGGCCTGCGCTTGGCGAAGGAACTCGCAATTAAGAAGCTAGCCATCTACTCAGATTCGCAGCTGATCGCGAATCAAACCTCAGGTGAATACATGGCGAAGCACCCAAGGATGATCTTGTACCTTGACAAAGTCCAGGAGCTGTTGAAGGCGTTTCCTACCTTCACCATCCAACAAGTACCCCGGGCAGAGAACGCACATGCAAATGCACTAGCCAGTCTAGGGTCAACGTTGGATACCCAGTTCAGACGCTCCATCCCGGTCGAACACCTTGACCGGCCAAGCATTGAAGAAGTAGAGCCAATCGACACCATGCAAATTGACGAGGACCCCAGCTGGCAAGACCCCATCATTGACTACTTAGCGAATGGAAACCTACCCGCGGACAAGTCCGAGGCTAGGAAGGTCCAGCAGAAGGCCGCGAGATACTACATGCACGACAACAAGCTCATCCGTAGATCATACTTCGGCCCTCACCTTACCTGCATAAAATACCCTCAAACACTTGAGGTCCTCTGCAAAATTCACGACGGCGAGTGTGGCAACCACTCTGGGGGCAGGTCACTCGCCCAGAAGGCTCTAAACATAGGCTACTTCTGGCCTACCATGCGCCACGACTCCGCTGAATATGTCAAAAAGTGTGATCGCTGCAAGCGATACAAGCTGATCCCTAACCTGCCTGCCGAAGTTGACCATCTGCAAAATAGTCCATGGCGATTCATGCAATGAGTCATTGACTTAGTGGGTCTCTTGCCACCCGTGCCCGACAGGAAGGACATGGATGATCGTCGCCACCGACTACTTTACTAAATGGATCGAGGTAGAAGCTCTATTCTCTATTAAAGAAGCCGATGTGGTGCGATTCATCTGGAGAAACATCATCTGCCGGTTTGGCTGTCCACAATCGCTGGCCACTGACAACAACTCACAATCCATTGGCAGGCAGATCACCACAAATCAGTCGCCCATAAGTAGCGTCCTTCGGGAGACGCAGCCCGTAAGAAGCGTCCTAAGGGAGACACAGGGTGCGCCAGGAATTTCTTAAAAGGAGGTCTCTATGCCTTCTGCGGGAAGTATCCAGGTTCCTATCCGTTTCCTAAGGGAGGCAGGATAGACACGCAGTTGCCCATAAGCAGCATCCTAAGGGAGACGCAGGGCGACGACCAAAGCGTCCTTTGGGAGACGCAGCCCGTAAAAAGAGTCCTAAGGGAGACGCAGGGTGCGCCAGGAATTTCTTAAAATGAGGTCTCCATGCTTTCTGCGGGGAATATCCAGGTTCCTATCCGTTTCCTAGGGGAGGCAGGATAGACACACAGTTGCCCATAAGCAGCGTCCTTCGGGAGACGCAGGGTGACGACCAAGCCATCCTAAGGGATGTGCAGCACACGCCCGGAGCCTCTTAAGTGGGGCCCTGGCACTCGCCAACTTCCTAAGGGAAACCATCCTAAGGAATGTGCAGGACACGCCCGGAGCCTCTTAAGGGGGGCCCTGACACTCGCCAACTTCCTAAGGGAAACTATCCTAAGGGATGTGCAGCACACGTCCGGAGCCTCTTAAGGGGGGCCCCGGCACTCGCCAACTTTCTAAGGGAAATCATCCTAAGGGATGTGCAGGACACGCCCGGAGTCCCTTAAGGGGGACCCTAGCACTCGCCAACTTCCTAAGGGAAAAAAATAATACGGGATGTGCAGAATACACTCGGAATCCCCCAAGGGGAACCCTGTCACTCATAAATCTCCAAAGAAGTTGTGCAATTAAGACAAAAGCTGATTACTTAACAGTTCACAGGTCGATATGCAAATTGAAAGTTGAGAGTAACAACTGAAATTTCCATAACAAGATGACTAATCGGCCAAAGTTCAACAAAGAGAAGATGGTCAAATAAGACCAATTATTCTAGACAAGAAAGCAAACTACAAAAGCTGAAAAGAAACAAAGAAGTCTTCATCTACTCCAAGACGCCAGCAGGAGATCCCTGATCTATAGCATCTTTGGCGTCCGCCTGATCAACCACGTTCTCAACACCTCCACTTGCCTGATTTGCGATGTTTGTCTCTACCACATTTGTTGCATCATCCTCTGCTTCATCCTCTTCAGCTACCTCTTCGACCGCCTGCTCTTCAGCTCATTCCATGTTCACAACATTAACCTGCTCACTCTGCATAGGGAGCAAGTCAGAACAGAGCATCTCGATGTCTCCATCTCCAATGGCATAGAATGAATCATTTCCAGTCGAGCAGTCCAAGTAGCCGAACTTGTATGCATTCATGGTAGCTTCGAACTTGGACTTTTCAGCAGACTTATGACATGCGCCAAATCTAGCCAGAAGCTTGTCATAACTAAAGGAGACATCAGCATTCTTGCTCTCAAGACAGAAGTAGGCATCTTTTTGACTAACCAAGTCAGCAGCAGAAGAGGGGGCAACCGCAGATGAGTTTCGAATAGTTTCAGCAATAAAAACTACTCATTTTTTAAGCAGATGAAATGTTGCTTCCTTTTGTTTTTCCAAGGAAAGACTTAAGAAGGTGCCGAGATCGCCAACCTGACAGATGTGATCGACCAACTCAGCACAAGAGGACGGGTTTGATAGAAAGTTCGTCTCGAGCAGGTCAAACACGCATGCATCCCCTGCAGGGCTGGACTTGTTCACCTTGGGATCAACCGCTGACACTGAAGATCCCTTAGCCCAGGCAGATGACTCCCTAGTCTTCTTAGCCTTCGCCAACCACATCTCCAAATGAGTCAATGATACTAAATCAACTCCACGCTTGACTGCCCGTGACTCAACAACTAGATTGTGAGCAGACTTCCCACTTTGATCTCCATCTCTTGACCGATGCAGATGACTCGAACTTTGAGGAGGAATATCTACATCTCTTTGACGCTCGGCAGAACTAGGCCAGGTACGAGCTGCTTCACGAAGCATATCATGGTTTTCAAGCGTGTCAGTAGGAGGCTCGGGCAGAACACCTCGAGCACCGCACATACCACCAACCTTCGTGCTATCTGCACCCACGAGATGCTTGACCCTGACAGATGATGATGGAGCAGACCCCACTTGAGTCTTCTCAGCAAAAGGGAGCCTTGGCTTCTTCCTCGATGGAGATCCATTCTTTGCGTTCGAAGGAGTAGCTTCACCTCTTGAAGATTTGGCAGCAACCTTTCTCTTTGAGAGAGACTCAGCATAACACTCTTCATGTACGGCAAGCAGATCATCAGAATATGGACCATTCTACCCCCATCTCTCAACATCCTGAGCAGGGGGCAGACCACCAACTTTTTCCACTCAGGAGCCCAAGTCACGAAGGAAGCCCAGTACGGTTGGACAGCCCAACGGATAATCTTCATCTCCTACATGCCACCACGCGCCATGCAGAAGCTGGGGGGCATTTGTGGGAACCGAATTAAATCAGACCCTAGGTCAAATGATTCCTTCCATTTGGGGATTATTTGACCTAATTGGGAATTAATCAACCTAATTGGGAGTTACTCAATTTAATTGGGGATTACCCAATTAAATTGAAGATTACCTAATTAGGTTGAGAATTGATTTGATTCCTACCCCGATTCCCAATTAAATGAGGAGTTACCTAATTAAAATGGGATTTGATTTGATACCTACCACAATTAGGGATTTGATTTACCCTAATAAATCAAATCCCTAATTAATCAAATCAATTCCAAAAAAGGGAGGAATAATTCCCTTCCATCTACGGAATTATTCCTATGAAACCCTAGCCTCCAAGACAACTATAAAAGGATGGCCACACACAAGGGTTGAGGTACGTCTGAAATCCCTACTAAAACTCTGCAGAAAATTCCTCTCAAACCCTAGCCACCTCCTTTCTCTCTCTCTTTTACATAAGGCTCCAGCTGCCCGGTTTACACCATAAACACATCTCCGTACCCTATTAGCTATTGTTTTCTATACGATTCAATTGAACTAATTTAGGCATCGGAGGGCCTTTGGCCAACACCCCCCGTGTGTGGCCCTCTCATTTGTTCCATTTTGCAGGGAGAAAGACGAGGCGAAGAAGGAAGAGGAATCTTTGCAACCGAATATTCTCGCAGCAACAACTCATGGAGGAATCTTCGCAAGCTCAATCCACCAATCTGCCTCATGGGCAGGGCAACGAAGGAGGGCAACCTCTTCAAGTCGACGAGGAAGTCAACCATCCCTGCCTGAATCACGAGGGTCGCCAACGGGATCGGCAAGGCATGCGCTCGGAGGAAGTCGAGAAGCTCGTAAACGACCGACTTCGTAACTTAAAGATCGGTGGAAATTTCGAAGATGCTCTACGCAGGGAGGTGGACCAAGCAAACTCTACGCCCTTCACTATCGAAATCGAGCAAGCCGCTCCCCCGAAGAGATTCTCAACGCCTTCATTCACGCATTTCAAAGGAGATTCCGATCTCGAGAGCCATCTAAAGCACTTTAAAAGTATCATGATCTTCTACAAGGCTAACGACACGCTGATGTGCAAGGTATTTGCAATGACCTTGCAAGGAGCAGCCCAAGACTGGTTCCACAGCTTGCCATCTGGGTTGATCAGCAACTTTAAGGAGTTAGCTCACATCTTCACCAAAGAATACACTTCTTGCCGGACGATCAAGAAGAACCCTGACCACATGTTCAACCTGCAAAAGAAGGATGATGAATCCTCCGAGATTACATCAAGAGGTTCAAAGCAAAAAGGCCAAACATCATTGGATGTGACGATCGAATTGCGTCATCGGCCTTCAAGAGTGGCTTGCCAATTGAGTGTGAGCTGTATCGCGAGCTGACCATCTCTCCTTGCCAAACACTAGTAGAAGTCTTCGCGACAGCAGAGCGCTATGCATTTTGGGATGATGACCGGACCGCCGCAAAGAAAGCTGCCGATCAACCGGTTGAGCCGGCAAGCCGAAGAAATGACATGATAAAAGACAAGGATGGGGGCAAGTGTGGATTACAGCCTCAGGGAGGTGCTCCAACAGTTGAGAGCTACACTAAGTTCACTATTCCGATACGGCAGATCCTAGCCCAAGTAAAGAACATGCCTTGGTTGAAGAAACCATCGCCTTTGAAGGGAAACCCAGCCAAGACGGATACCAGTAGGTACTGTGAATTCCATGAAGGGCACGGTCATTACACAAATGATTGCTTCGCCTGGAAAAAGCACCTCGAAGAACTGGTCGAAGATGGCCATTGCACGGAATTCATCGCAAGGAGGGCTATCCAGAAAATCAAAGATCGTGAGGCAACTGCCAATGAACCTCCACGAAAAAAGACATACGGATCAGCACGATCCTAGCCGACTTTAAGAGCTCGAGCTGACCACTGAGGAGCAGGAGAGAAAGATCATGCAAGCGACAAGCGCAAGTCTCCCAAGTTGTCACCTGCTACCTAGTCATGAAAGACGATATCGACATCATCTTTTAAGGGAAGGAAGTTCCAAGACAACGAAATGCCCATCACCTCTGAAGGTACTATCCATGAAGCTCCTCGCCTATCAGCTCGGTTCTAAGCAGGGCGGCCAGGCCTCCCTCACCTCCATTAAAGACAAGTTACTTTTGATGTTACCCCTGCAACTCATCTCTTTTATTCAATAAAGCAATGTAGTCACACAGACATCAATACAAGTTCAAGCTTTTCTTTCCAATGGAGTGTTCACAAATGCAATCTACACGTCTCTGGACATACGCCAAACGAGCCACTCTCATCGACATGTCTCCAGACGTAGGCCAAACGGGCCACACACCAATCGACACGTCTCTGGATGTTGGCCAAACGGGCCACCCTCATCGACACGTCTCTGGACGTAGGCCAAACGGACCACCATCATCGACACGTCTCCGGACGTAGGCCAAACGGGCCACCCTCATCGACACGTCTCTGGACGTAGGCCAAACGGGCCACCCTCATCGACACGTCTTCGGACGTAGGCCAAACAGGCCACCCTTATCGACACATCTCCGGACGTAGACCAAACAGGCCACCCTCATCGACACGTCTCCGGACGTAGGCCAAACGGGCCACACTCATCGACACGTCTCCGAACGTAGGCCAAACGGGCCACCCTCATCGACACATCTCCGGACGTTGGCCAAGCGGGCCACCCTCATTGACACGTCTCCGGACGTAGGCCAAACAGGCCACCCTCATCGACACGTCTCCAGACGTAGGCCAAACAGGCCACCCTCATCGACACGTCTCCAGACGTAGGCCAAACAGGCCACCCTCATCGACACGTCTCCTGGTGTAGGTCAAATGGGCCACTTCCATCGACACGTCTCTGGACATTAACCAAACATGCCGCAACTTGAGGAAAAACATCCTACTAGATATGCAGAACATGCCTGGAGTCCCTCAAGGGAAACCCTGGCACTCATAAATTTCCTAAGGAAAACACACAATTGGCTGGTTACTCAAGCAGTTCACAAGTCGATATGCAAATTGAAGTTGAAAAAATAACTAAATTTCCATAGCAAGCTGACCAATCGGCCAAGTTCAACAAAAGGAAGATGGTTAAAAAAGACCATTTATTCTAAACAAGAAAGCAGACTACAAAAGATGAAAAGAAATAAAGAAAACTTCATCTACTCCGAGGCGCCAGTAGGACACCTCTGAGTTACAGCCTCTTCGACATTCGCCTGATCAGTTATGCCTTCAGCATCCTGATCTGCCTGCTCCATAGCATCTGCCATCATCTCATCTACTGCATCCACTCTTGTGCTCAAAACGGAAGTAGGCATCTTTTTTACTAACCAAGCCAGCGGTAGAAGAGGGGGCAACAGCAGACAAGTTTCAGATAGTTTCAGCAACAAGAACCACTCCTTTTTAAAGCAGATGAAATGTGGCTTCCCTTTGTTTTTCCCAGGAAAGGCTCGAGAATGTGCCAAGATCGCCGGCCTGACAGATGTGATCGACCAACTCAGCATAGAAGGACGGGTTTTATACGAAGTTCGTCTTGAGCAGATCAAACACACACGCATCCCCTATAGGGCTAGACTTGTTCGCCTTTAGATCAACCGCCGACGCTGAAGAAGAACTCTTCGCCCAGGCAGATGACTCTCTCATCTTCTTAGCCTCCGCCAACCTCACTTCCAAAGGAGTCAATGATACTGAATCAACTCCACGCTTGACTGCCCGTGACTCAACAGCTGGGTCATGAGCAAACCTCCCGCTTCGATCTCCATCTTTTGACCAGGCAGACGACTCTAACTTCGAGGAGGAATGTCTGCATCTCTTTGACGCTTGACAGAACTAGATCGGGCACAGGTTGCCTCACAAAGCAAATCACGGTTTTCAAGCTTGTCAGCAGGAGGCTCGGGCAAAATACCCCGAACATAGTTCATACCATCAACCTTCGTGCTATCTGCGCCCACGAGATGTTTGGCGCTGGCAAATGATGGTAGAGCAGACCCCACTTGAGTCTTCTTAGCAGAAGGGAACCTTGGCTTCTTCCTCAATAGAGACACATTCTCTACCTGCGAATGAGTAGCTTCATCTCTTAAAGACTTGGCAGCAGCCTTTCCCTTTGGGGGAGATTCAGCAGAACACTCCTCCTGCCCAACTGGCAAATCATCAGAATCTTGACCATTCTACTCACATCTCTCAACATCCTGAGCAAGGGGCAGACCACCACCTCCTCCACTCAGGAGCCTAGGTCCACGAAGGAAGCTCAGTTACAGCTGGACAGCCCAATGGATAATCTACATCTTCTACATGCCACCACGGGCCATGCAGAAGCTGGGGGGCATTTGTGGGAACCGAATTAAATCATACCTTAGGTCAAATGATTCCTTCCATTTGGGGATTATTTGACCTAATTGGGAATTATTCAACCTAATTGGGAGTTACTCAATTTAATTGGGGATTACCCAATTAGGTTGAGAATTGATTTGATTCCTACCACAATTGGGGATTTGATTTACCCTAATAAATCAAATCCCTAATTAATCAAATCAATTCCAAATAGGGGAGGAATAATTCCCTTCCATCTACGGAATTATTCCTCTGAAACCCTAGTCTCCAAAACCACTATAAAAGGATAGCCACACACAAGGGTTGAGGTACGTCTGAAATCCCTACTGAAACTCGGCAGAAAATTCCTCTCAAACCCTAGCCACCTCCTTTCTCTCTCTCTTTTATATAAGGCTCTAGCCGCCCGGTTTACACCATAAACACATCTCCGTACCCTATTAGCTATTGTTTTCTATACGATTCAATTGAACTAATTTAGGCATCGGAGGGCCTTTGGCCAACACCCCCCGGGTGTGGCCCTCTCATTTGTTCCATTTTGTAGGGAGAAAGACGAGGCGAAGAAGGAAGAGGAATCTTTGCAACCAAATATTCTCATGAGGAAATTTGTACAAACAGTGACAATGGCACTGAATATGTTAATAATGTTTTTTTTCTTATCTTTGCAGTCAACTAGGCATCCACCAATGTTTCTCATATTCCCAACGCAAGACTGATATTCTCTACAATATCAATTCAACAATGTCACAGATAAAAAGAAAGCAATATCGCACGAGCAATAGACAATAATTGAAACTTATTCTTGATTACAGTCTTAAAGGTTTTAACAAGAATGATAAACCAGTTGGCACCACACTATACAATCAATAATTTATCACACACAAAAAAAAAAGGAATATTATTCAAGCTGGTCCTGTACTGCTTACTAGTCTTTTGGAGATAAACACCACCATTGAAGCCTATATAACTCCGAAGGGGCTCGAAACCTTGTAACCCTCCTCCGCCCATAACATTTTTTTGGTTCGTTTGATTTTCACTTCATATAATGCACCCAAGTGGGGCAGGAAAGTGTAGAATTTGAACAAAATGTGTAGCAACACAATTGTATTTAGATTTGAACAAAAGTTCAGAAATGAAAGGAAAGAAAGACAAAGGAAAAAAAAAGGAAGAGGAAATCACAAAATAAACCCACCACCAACAACGTGTACGTGCATTATTATTTGTAGTAAATTCTTCGCTTATTCATAAGTTCGTTACCTAGGTCATAAGCTTTCTATATATAAGCTTATACAGGGACAAATTTTAATTTTACTTAGTCGAAGACCACAGCTATTGGGCTAGTAACATTATGCTTATCAGAAACCCATCTCAAATATCCCTCACCAAATGCTACACCATCCTTCCCAGCACCATCTTGTGCTATAAACTCCACATGGAATGTAATCTGCTGGTTGACCTCAGTAAATGTAAGCACCCCAGGATTCACACTCATGCCCATTTTATGTGGTACAAGAAGATCCAAGTTGTAAGTAGTACTAGCCGGGCCAACATTCCTCACTGTCCTTGTATAATACTGAGACTGAGACTCATTGGACCCTATCTTAATAGAAAATGAAGGATAATTGAGCTGTGCTTCTGATATGACCCCGACTTGAGAGCAGTTCACTTTTTGTTGGGTGATGATCTGTATCTCTTTATCAGTGTAATTCAAACCACACAAGTAAGGAAAGTAATCCTCTGGTTGTGTGTCATAGATGAGCCCCGGGTCATTTGCTTTTGAAGGGTTAACATGGCCTGCACCCATTGCAAAGACGTTCGCAGGCTTTTGGTCTTGATCAACAATGGGCATGCCTGCAAGGTTTAGCACATCAGCGGTTGTCATGATGGCAGATTTAATTGCAGCTGGTGACCAATCAGGGTGTGAGCTCTTGACCAAGGCTGCAATTCCACTTAGGTGAGGACAAGCCATTGAAGTACCGGAAATTATGTTAAATGTTGCCTTAGACTGCGTGGCATTGTCCACAGAAACAGGCCATGCTGCTAGGATGTCAACACCGGGTCCAATGATGTCAGGTTTCAAAATTCCGGGGCTTGCCTTGTTTGGTCCTCTTGATGAAAAGAAAGCAACTCTGGGAGCAAGTGCGTCTCCAATGACAGTGCCGTTGAACAAGATTGTGGCTGTAGGACTTGAGGTTGAGCTTATATATGACTTAATTTGCAACCCTGCAGCATAACTTACATGTGTCGTGGGTAGCACATGTGATTCAGCTAAGGTGCTAAAGCCATCAGTTTCTTGGTTCATGAGAATCATGGCAGCACCACCAGCTCTTTTCACTTCTTCCCCTTTGGCAATATTTGTAACTCCTCCACCTGTCTCACACAGTACTATTTTCCCTTCAACATTTTCGAGAGTCCCTTCCTTGCAGAAAACTGATGGCTGGTTGCCAACTGAGCCTGCATAAACAAGAGGTAAAGGTAACGAAACTGTTGAATCAAAATCTTGAGGCTGGGACAAGGATTTTCCATCAAAATGGTTATTTTTATCATCCCCGATCTGCGCTTCTGATTTTAATATTCTGTCAGTAGTGCTTGCTCCAACTGTCAGAATCCACGGGGCCTCGTTTGATAAAGAACGGTTGAAAGGACCAAAATTTCCAGCTGCACAGCTGAAAAAAATTCCCTTTTGAATTGCTGCAAATGCACCAATTGCAATCACATCCTTATAGAAAGGAAGTGAGGGGCCTCCAAGTGAGAGGGAGAGCACGTCCACGCCATCATCAACAGCAACATCAAGAGCAGCCAAAATGTCAGCTTCAGCACAACCAAAGCCAGAGCAGACTTTGTAAACTGCCAAGTGAGCTTTCGGTGCCATGCCAGCCGCTGTGCCATTGGCCTGTCCAAACACGCTTGCGCCTTCCACAAACCTTCCAGCAGCAGTGCTAGATGTGTGGGTGCCATGGCCATCTATGTCAAATGGAGGACCTGGTGGGGGTTGACCTTTGCCTACTCCCTTGAAATTTCTTGCACCGATAAGCTTGTTATTGCACAAGGTCCCATTGAACTCACACTTACCTTTCCATTTAGCAGGAGGAGGTGGCATTCCTTCATCACTAAATGAGGGATGATCAGGTGTAATCCCAGTATCCAAAAGTCCAATTATCACACCTTCACCATAGTTTGTTGCTTCCCAAAGTCCAAATCCTTGGTGCAAACCCAAGAAGTCGGGACTATGAGTAGTCTGCAACGGCAGAATCTTCTCTGGACGAGCTGACACAAACCCTTCTATCGTTTCCATCGTTTTTACTTCCTCTGGTGTCAGTCTTGCTGCAAATCCTGTTGCCACATTGTGGTAGGCATAAACCATCCGTTGTTTCGTCAGCTGGTTTGAGTTTGCATCAGGTTCAGGCAAAAATGACTGATACCAACTCTCCAAATCTTCATGAGATTCTGCAGAAAATTTCTGAGAGGCTGGCTTTTGCACCCAAACAATATAAGTTTGCACGTCATTGCTGCCATCATTTTTTTCAGCAGCTACCAATTCCAGCGCCATTTCTTCATAATCCGCAACTGTTAGTGACAAACAAAACATGAAAACTAAACCAACAAGATATATAACCGGCATTAATGCCGGACCCTTTTTGTTCTCCATCTTGATTTTGGTTAAGAAGAATTAGGAAGAGCAAGTTGTATGTGCTAGCACTTCAAACACCTATTTGAAGCAAACATTGGCCGGCATTTCTTGTACTGATTATTAGAGGTAATTGTGAAGGTTGACTGGTGGTGCTTGGTAATGCTCGCTGAGCTATAACAAAGCAGCGATGGACCTTATGCAAAACTATAGATTAATTTTTTTGGATTTAATTTGGAGGTTGGTTGTTCTTGTATTGGGTGGTGCCAACTGGTTTGTCATTCTTGTTAAAACCTGAATTATTATATCAAATTCAGTTCGATAACATCGCAGATAAAAAATAAAAACAATGGCACGCAAGAGCAATAGACAATAGCTAAAACTTAAAAACTCATTCTGGAGTTATATATGTTACTGCTGTATACATTGATAATTACAAAATGAATATTCAAGCTGGCCCTGTGCTCTTGTTCTTGGGACAACGACTACTATTGAAGATGCCATCTGGTGAAGACTGTAGCAACAATAGTTTGAAGCTTTTTTGCTTTTTTGACTTGATTTGGCATCTTCTCTGTTTTACAAAGCTCTAACCAAACATGATTGGAAGATTCATTGTGGATATATATACCTGATCTGGAGTTACTATACCAATTAGAGGTATAGCTAGCTGCTAGTCACACTGAAAATGAAAAACTCACAACATGAAACCTTGGAACACCCAGAATCCATCTATCAAAATTGCAAAGCAAAACTACTGAGGCATGGAGAGTTTCATATATATGACAATTACAAAGTGAATCACTCAATCTTGTTAAATCATCACTGACAAAGTTAACCTCCATGAAAATATGTAGAAACTGCGTATTGTCAAAAGTGAAGGAAGTTGAGGTTCCACTCAAAAACCAATTGGCTATTGGGGGGGAGTAGCCCAACACCTTATAAGCCCTTGCAAGGTTTCTCAACTTTTCAATGTGGGACATTTTTTTACATTCTCACAAAAAGGATGTTAAATAAACTTCATATCTCGAATGATTCAATTGGTCTAGTGGTACATCTCTTGCCAATGTTAAAAATGTACCGAGTTCAAATCGCCCCTCCCATATTAATCAGAAAAGCAAAAAGAAAAAGTGGCCATCAAGATTTTTTTTTTTTTTTTTTTTTTTTTTATTATATTCAACTTTTAATAATTTTTCTACTTTTTCTTTTGTTTTTCTTTTTTTACAACAACTTACCTTTTTTTTTTTTTTTGTTTTTTTTATTTTTTTTTTTATTAATAAAAATATTTTCCATTTTACACATGTTATTGTTACTCATCAATTAATACGTTTTATTGTCGTTCAGTAACACATTATACTTATACAAATGCCTATATTGTTTCCAATTATAAGTACTGAAATTTTGATATACAAACCCAAAACACAAATTTCAAAACAAAGACCAAATTAGATGATTCCTGCGAAATTCTCTAGGAAAGTTATAATTAAAAATATCTGTATGCACATTATTATTAAATTGTATATATATATATATATATGTGGATACATAATTATTCGTAGGTATATTACCTACATAGCTCTTGGCCTGGATAAAAGGTGAGCTTATATAAGGGTTCTGCAAGGCCAAATTTTAACTCTAGGTAGATTCAAAGACCACAGCTATTGGACTAGTAACATTATACTTATCAGAAAACCATCTCAAATATCCCTGAGAAATTGGTACGCCATCCTTGCCAGCGCCATCTTCTGCGATAAACTCCACATGGAACGTAAGCTCCTGGTTTACCTCTGTGAATGTGAGCATCTGAGGGTTCACACTCATCCCCATTTTATGTGGTACAAGAAGATCCAAGTTGTAAGTTGAACTAGCCGGGCCAACGTTCCTCACTGTCCTTGTATAATACTGAGACTGAGTCTCATTGGACCTTATTTTAATGGAAAATGAAGGGTAGTTTAGCTGTGCTTCTGGTATGGCTTCTACTTGAGAGCAGATCACTGCTTGTTTGGTGATGAGCTGTATCTGTTGGTCTGTGTAATTCAAACCACACAAGTAGGGAATGTAATCCTTTGGTTGTGTGTCATAGACGAGCCCCGGGTCATTAGCTTTTGAAGGGTTAACATGGCCTGCACCGGTTGCAAAGATGTCCGCGGGCTCAAGCCTTTGATCAACAATGGGCTTGCCTGCGAGGTTTAGGACGTTGGCTGTTGTCATGATGGCAGACTTAATAGCAGCTGGAGACCAGTCAGGGTGTGAGCTCTTGAGCAAGGCTGCAATGCCACTCAGGTGAGGAGTTGACATTGAGGTACCCGAAATTATGTTAAACGTTGCCTTAGATTGTGTCTGGTCCACGGCAACAGGCCAGGCTGCTAGGATGCTAACGCCG